TTGGATTATAAAGTAACTAAATTTGTAACTAAATGAAGAAAAAAAAATATAGCAAGTTCAACATATTCTCTCAAACTCAATGTAAAACTGTCAACATGCTTTTCTACAGCCACAATTGCTAAATATTCAGGCTATTTTCATGAGCTACAGAATTGAAGAGTGCTTTTATGCCATGTGAAAAACATGTATAATTTTTTCCCTAATGGATGAAGTTTTCTCTTATTTAAATATTATTTTATTTATACAATATTATTGATAAGCTTATCTGGCTAAACAACTATAACTTTTGCTATTAAGATTATTCTACACTTACCTGAGTATTAAAAGTTTTAACGGCTTCACCAATAGGCAAACGAAAGCATTTATCCAGCTCCTAGCTTAAAAGTGTAGTCTTGAGCTAGTTTAAAACTTTTAGAAATGATAAATTATGAATTATATACAGCTTTAGCAAATAGTACAAAAATAACTTTACTAAGTATTTTCATAACATATTTTGACTTGCGTGTGTTTAGGAAACTTGTTTTATTCCTTATTTAGTGGGTTTAAAAAGTGGATATGCTCTATTACTATATGAACAGGAAGCATCTGAATCAAGACATTCTAAGTTTCAGTTTTAGGACTGGTATAATTCAATTTTAGGATTAATAAATAATTTGAAAATATTCTCTTCAGGGAAATTATTTTGGTGGATCTTTGTGATCTCTCAGTACTTTTTAAAGTCAGCATACTTTGAACATTTTATATACGTAACTAAAGAATAACTTCCTAACTACAGATAAGGCTTAAGTTGTTGGGTACAAGGGCAGTTAATTTTTCTGCTAGAGCAGAAAAAAGCTATTTGTCACTCAAATATTTGACTCATAATTTAGCAGAGGCTTGTATACTGACGTTCTACATAGTAAATATATATAAAAAGAAATTTATCAGTGCTAATAGAAAGCGCCTCCTGAGTTTCAAAAAGCTGTTATTCATCTAGGTGCACATGATCAACAGCAAACAATGTGAAGTCAGTAAAGATGATGTAATATTTAAGTCTTTAAACATAAATTTTAAGGCAAAGAGAAGTCAAATAATGGACACAATAATACAGACGCTTTAATAATTATGCCAAACAAACACAAAAGGATATAATTTCAGTGAAAGCGCATTAGAAGAAAAAGAATCACTTCACAAACTAAGACACTCATGACAGACAAAATGTAAAAAGGATGTAGAGGAAAGAGGATATAGTTACAAGTTTCGCATTTGTTTCTTAAAAATACTCAAGATTATGTCTATTTTATTTGGTAAGTTTTAAAAGCTGCATTCAAACTGCAGCTTTTGAAATAATGAAAGAAAAAGACAATTTGTCTAATAATATTCAGAGAAAAGTTAATGTAGCTTTCTAAAGTCTCTTATTTCTTGGGAATGCCTGAACTATAGAAAAAGCCTACTCTTCAAAATTATATATATATACACATACACATATATACGTTATATACATATTACATACATGTTTTATATATATATATATACCATATATATATATTACACATTTTGACTGTGCACTCCACATGCTGTTAATCATAATCTCCAAACACTTCTCTATACACTGGGATACCCTATAATAGGGACTCAGTCACTGTCTGCTTTGGATTGGAATTCGTGATCCTTTTGAAGACCAGCCATCTGATATATTAATACTTCTATACAGATTTTTAACAGATTCCTCAAATAACTAATGACTAGTTTAAATGTATAACATGACTATTACATCCAAAACTGGAGTAACTTCATAAAATTTATTTCATTTGTATTTCTAAAACCTTTTCCCATTTAGTGCTCTTACCACTTTCTCAAATGTCCAAGCCCAAATGCAGTTAAAAGCAAAGATAACAATATGAAAATCTGACCAATGATTTCTTAATGCAATTCAGATACCTGTGTATTACGGTTAAATTTCAATTATTTAGGAAACATGTATTTATTTTGTGGATTACTCAGGCTCTGTCCTTTCTGTGTCTCACATTTATATTTAGGACATTTTTTCTTCAAAATTGATTCCACCAGAAGGGAGGAAAAATAGATATAACTTATCCTATGAAGACTACCATTTACCATTAGCTCAAGTTTAGTAGGTAAGCCATTTGATCAATAAACATTCTTTTAACCTCTAGTATTATAGATAATTTTAATTCAAAGGCTTAAAACTGGTAGCCCATAGACAGGATGAGACCTGAAGATACTTTCTGTTTAGCTTCTATAGTATTAAAAATATGTAATCCAACATTTAAAACTCAGATGTTATCTAAAAAGCTAGATATTTCAGGCTTTCTCCCCGACCTTCCACCCCTAAAATAAAAAAGACTGGGCAGTATTTGGCTAAACCGTCATACAGAAACAACTGGCTAGAGAAGAGTAGAGGTTTTCCTCTTTCAACAGGACAAGGGCTCTTCAATTTACCACAGTCTCCACCATTCACTGTTGTCACTAACATCAAGGGCCAATGTCTGTATCCATTTATTGTCAAGGTTTATCTTTTTTTTTTTTAATTATTGATATTTACTTGGACCCACACTACCAAATGTGAAAAATGAAATAAAAAATATGCCAAAAGGGCCATGTGTTTCTAGAACACATGAAAGAATAATACTGTATGTCCAATATGCAAATAAAATATCTCTGCCAAAATAACACAACTTAAAATGCCATTATGAAACAAACCACAGAAAAACCTTATTTGTGTTACATACCAAGAACATACCAAAATTTGAATGTCTGATTCACAGTGATTCATATAAGATGATAAACAAATGGATTTTGTGACACAAAAGTATTATGAAGCCTTAATATCATAGACTTATTTTCATTTAATTAACAACCATATAGGCTATCTGAAAATTACTGACATGTCATTTGTTGCTAGGGTCTAAAAACGTTTTACAGAGAAAAAAAACCTGCTGTTTACAATAATTTATTAAATTTCTAAAATGAGATCTCTGATCTCTGCAATTGCTCTGAACTCATTTCTAAAGGCAAATTTTACTAGTTTTAAAAAGATTATTCAAAGTAAACCTGGCATCTAGATAAAATAATTTTACTTCTGTAAACAGTGTTCATATTTTAAAGCTATTTCTGGTATATATATAATGAACATAAAACTATTTTAGTATTGTTTATTTTTAAAATGTTCATAGTAAGAATGCTTAAATCACACCATAGGGCTGTGGGAGTTTTTGTTTTTGATACTGATCAACACTGGCAGCCCTTCAAATATTAGTCCCATTTAGTAAATTAACCATTTTGCATTTTTGAAACATTGAAATTTAATGTTGGCTAATTATTAATTTTATATGTCACTTATGAATTCTTTGTTCATTTTTCAAATATTTTGTTTTGCACTATAGTAAAGATTTTAAATTTTTCCCCCAGAGACAAAGCAAGTTTTCAGTTTTGTTTACCATTCTCATTGCTATAGTTCATCAGCATGCCACAAAAGACAGTCAAGAGCTTCTCATTGGCGGGATCTGTTATACTGCACAGTGACCTTAAATGGTCAATTACAATCTGTGCACCACCTGCTTGGTCAACTGCACTTCTGCCCTCATCTGTAAAACAAAGAGTTAAATTAAAAATAAAAGAAAAAAGAAACGTACCTTACAATTTAAAATACAAAACATGACAGTGTTATTCTTTATTTCATGAATAGAAAATAAACCTAAGCAGGACATTAAATATGTCTTTTGGGAAAAAACAAAACAAAAGAAATAAACATGGAAATGGTCGTGGGATGGGGAAAAGAGACAATCACTTTTTAAGCAAAATAAGATTATTCTCATTGGCATCATACAGGAGCTTACAGAACTTCCCTGTGTCCTAGGAGTTTATGATGTGAAAATTTTCACTCTCTCTTTCACAAATGACAGTTCTATGTAAGAGAAAAAAATAGAAACTAAGTGATACTCTATACGTTTTTGTACCTCAGGTTAAAAAATCACAAATATAACTTTTTACATTGGGTTTAAAGGTCAGCTATTATCAAAGAAAACCATATGGTATAACTGTAGATCACAATATGTAATTCCTGAATGTTAGTACTAGGGTCTTTGTTAATGGCAGTCCTATAGTCCAGAGGCATATTCCCTTTTTTCATTCTTGATTTGTGTTTCTTTTTTCCTCATTCCCCCTATTCTAGAGCACACAAATGTAATTCAACATTACAAAAAGTGGTCAAGTGATGGTCAAACATAACTTCCATTACGTGTACATCTACACTGCATAAAACAGATGTCACCTAATTGTTGGAACATATAAATAAATAGCTTTAGAATACTTTCTAACTTTTGAACACAGGAATGAAAAGAAATGAAAAAAAGAATATAAAGAACCTGACTCCTTATATAAAATATAACCAGCCTCTAGAAGGGGTCCAAGAGAAATTTGTGAGCCAGAAATGTGAGCCACATGTGTAATTTAAATTTACAAATAGCCATATTAAAAAAGAACAGGTGAAAAATTAATTTTAGTGATATTTTATATATTTAATTGAATAAATAAAAAATAAATATATAAAATATCATTTTATATATTTAAAAAATATATAAAATGATATTTTATATATTTAATTGATATATTATTCAATTAAATATATAAAATATTGACATGCAAATCAATATATAAATTATTAACAGAACATTTTATATTATCTTCTTCATAACGTATCTTCAAAATCCAAGTGTTTTCTAGTTTACAGTTACATCTCAATTCAGACTAGCCACATTTCAATTGCTCAGTAGCTACATGTGGCTAGTAGCTACCAAACTGTACTGTTGAGCTATAAGAAGTATAGCACAAAGATCAACAAAAGAGACTCACAAAGGAATTATAGCTATGAAGTTAGTTAGTTACAAAATCAAAGATTTTCATTTTCCAAATATAAGAACTGAAACTAAGGTTATATCTTTATAACTGTTGCTGAATCATATTAGATGATACAACTTAAAATATGTAATTTCTTATGGTTTATATACACACGCACAAATTATACAGTAAGACATCGGTATATTATGTTCATAATTTTGAAAAATTTTTAGGAAATCCATATTAAAATGAAACAAAACAGTTTTATCCACTTATTGTATTGTTAGAAAGATGGAAAACATGACCCTGTGCTAATCAGCTCATCAAATCACAGAACATTCTTTTTTAGATGGAGTTTCACTCTGTTGCTAGGCTGGCGTGCAGTGGCATGATCTTGACTCACTACAAGCTCCACCTCCCGGGTTCAAGTGATTTCCCTGCCTCAGCCTCCCAAGTAGCTGGGACTGTAGGTGTGCACCACCACACCCAGCTAACTTTTTGTGTTTTAGTAGAGATGGGGTTTCACCATGTTGGCCAGGATGGTCTTGATCTCCTGACCTCGAGATCCACCCACCTTGGCCTACCAAAGTGCTGGGATTACAGGCGTGAGCCACTGTCCCCAGCCAGAAAATTGTCATGCCACCAGAGTAACTAGTTAGATAAACCAGCCAAGAACATTGGTCAAATCTCATTTAGAAATCTAACTCCTGAATTTTTTGTTTTCTATAACATAGATAAGTTAACTATCTAAATTACTGGGCAATTTCTATGTGGATGATGTCTCAGAAAACTGAACATTAGGATTACAAATCTAAATATTCAGACCTTCAATAATATGAAGGTATAGTACATCCCATCCCTAAATTGCAAAGCTCAAATAGTATTTGATTCTAATTCCTGAGTAAATATGGGCTTTTGAAATATAAATCAATCATGTATGCTTAAGACTTGGAAGAAGGCATCTTAGAGAACAGCTAAATCAAGTCTTGTATTCCTATACTAGGAATTTCATATACTAGAAAACTAAGGCTTAGAAACTATGTGGCACCTATTTGCAGTGAACTGAGGGAAAGCTGGCTTCCTATCCACACTAAGCTAGTAAATGCTCAAACATTCAGTAATTCAATAAATTGAAATACAAACTTATTCAACAAATTTGATGCAATAAATAAGAACACAATTACAACTCAAAGCAAATTACCTATTTGTATTTCAGAGCCACAGTGCTTTTCTTCTCTTCCCTTCCTTCCATTCCCCCATGCTGTTTCAATTGTCTATAACACAGCTTTTTACTCATATGTTATTGAGAATCGTTGGCAAGGCATAAACACAGTCTCTATACTAGAAATTACATACCAAATTTGAGAAGAAAAGCAAAGCATGTATTACAATAATAGTAATCTGTGTTCAAGAAATATTAACCACCACTATAGAAATAATTACAGAGTTTTTTCTTTCTTTGGAGAAATCAGCCTGAGAAGCAAAGTAAAAGCATTTTATTAAAATATTTAATAGAATTTACGGATTCAAAGAAATAAATGATAATATTGTGTTCCTTTACTCTAGCAAAACCAGTGACATAGTCATCTTCAAAAGTATCTTACAAGTCACTTCTATTTCCAGTAGTATTTGGATAACAAATCATTTTAAATACCATAGCTATCATTGCACAAGTCCATATAAATTGTTTTTCTATAGTTAAGGTAACTGTTTATCTGTATGTTACATTATCATAATGAGTATTACTGTTCACTTAAAAATAATTTTCAAAATGTTTCTTAACCTAAACTTGTGTATCCCTAAGTGTAAGCTCATCTTTCACTTTTCTCATAAGTAACAGCTAACTTGTGAAGCATCCTGAGCTATCACTTCTAAAAATATAATTTACATCTCAATTTTCCTAATATAATTATGAAGCATCCAACCACTAGAAAAAATGTAGCATACTCTTTAAAGTCCTATTAAATCCTTTAACACAAAGGCCTTTCACACAAAGTAGTTTCCAGTGCAAGTATAATCATTCTTCGCATTAGGTAAGAGCAGGGCTTTAAATAACTAACTAAAGAGATACTGCATGTCCACTGTCCTTCTATAAACAAAAGCAAGCAGCAATAAAATTTGTGTCATGGTTATCATGTCTCACAAATGAGAAAAAAAATGTTACCAAGTTAAACACTATTATCAGGTACAAGTTATACACTAAGGGTGAGGAAAAGAAGTAAAATACAACCACTGAATCTAACTATTGTGGCATGTGTTACAGTGTATTCTAACTTTGGATTTTACCATGTTTCCTCCCCATGGACAGCAAATGCCTAGTATAAAGTAGGTGCTTAATTTTTTAATGACTGGGGCCTTTTGACAGATATTGATAAATTATTCACTTTGAGGATGAATGATTGAGAGAGAGACACACACACACATACATGCAGAGAGAAGACTTTGCTTAAAGAAATGATGATTAAATATCAGCATTCTGAACTGGAACTCTGGAAATCTAATTCAATGTTCCCTCATTACACACTTTTTAAAAAGGTATATTACCTATGCCATTAAGTAAAGCAAGGTAACAACACTTTCTTAGCATTAATTTGAGAATCTACTTTTAAAGACTCACTTGTGAAAATCTGTAGGTATCCTTTCCAACAAATCTTTTCAGAATATTCATGAACTTGACTATTAAGACCAACTTGTATCACACAATAGCTGTCTAAAATGCACACTAAGCAGGGAGGATTTGATAAGATCTATTTCACATATAACTGATTCAGGGTTTAAAGTGGCACAGTATAACAACCATTTTCATATCCGTATCAAATAACTCATGGAGAGTCACAAATCCATGTGCTGAGAGTGAAACAAAGTCTAAAACTTGTAAAGAATACACTTTAAATAACTACATTTAGAAGCACAACAAAGAATGAACAAGATTTTGGGAAGATGGCAGATAGGAAGCAGGACTAGCCTGCAGCTCCCAATCAGACACAGCAGCATGTGAAGACTCACAACATAAACTTTTGATCCAACAACTACTGCAGGAACATACCAGGAAATCTGAGAGACCCTTTGAAGGAACTGGATCACCACTGCAGACTATCTGAAATACTGAAAAACTGAGTATGCTTGTTTTCTCAACGCAGAGGCTCATGTGCTTGGGCAAGTTCTCAGCCCTGGCCACCAGCTGCCTAGAAATAAACTCAGTGCTGTTGCAGGAGTTGGGGGAGATGGTGGTAGTGAGAACAGCCTTTAGGACTATGGCTATGTGGGAGGTCGCTGAGGCCCATGACTACCAGCTTTCCCCAACTGCTGTAGCAACCTGTATGACTCAGCAGAGGCAGCCATAATCCACCTGGAAATATAACTCCATTGGACTGGGAAGCGCATCCCTATCCCCCACAGCAGCCATAGCAAGCCCCACCCAAGGAGAAGCTGAGCTCAGATACACCTATCCCTAACTCCCACCTGGTGGTCTTTCTCTACCCACCCTGGGAAGTGAAGACAAAGGTCAAAATCTCTTAGGAGCTCTATGACACTGTCCACCGCCTGAGAAACTACTTAACCAGATATCCCTAAGGCTAGTTTGCATCCTCCATAGCTGATGCCATGGAGGTGCATGCTTGAAGGAACTGGATCACCACTGCAGACTATCTGAAATACTGAAAAATGCCACCTCCTGGCTGGAGGCCAACCAACAGAAAAGCAGCACACCAAACAAAAACAGAACTGAGGACCCTCACAGAATCCACTT